TTTTTTTTTTTTTTTTTTTTTTTTTTTTTTTTTTTTTTTTTTAAATGTTATTTTTAATATTTTTATCATGTTTATATATATATACTTAAATATTTTTCTATGCACAATATTTCATTGCAGCGCAATCCCAATGATTCGTATCTGTGTTGCTGGCTGTTCTACTTAGTAGAATATATTTTCAGACTAATAATGTTTGTAAATGTTAGCTTAGGTTAATTTTTTGGGGATGTCTAATGGGTGGCACTTTTTGAGGTGTACTTTCCTCGGCTTGGCAGTTAGCCGTCTGGCTAGGTCATGATTCCAGATAGGCTTAGGATGGAACTCATATATTTATAATTTTAAAATAATTAAATGCCTCCTATTGACTTTATTCTCAAGACTCGGGTTCGAATCCGAGCCACGTCAATTGACATTTTATTTTATTTATTTTGTAGTAACCTAATCGGTTTATTTTTTAATATTAAATACAATTATATAAGAACTTTACCAGTTTAAGTAAAAAATTTAGATATATATATATTTAAGTTTATAAATATGTTTTTGTTTTTCATATATTTATGCCGCCAAATGTGCCTTTGTTTCCATTCCAATTTTATTTTGTTTCCACATCAACAGCTCACTTTTCAGAGATGCGTATCTGAGCTGAGTGTAGAGCAACCCTTTTTGCTGTTGTCTGTTGCTTGTTAGGAGTAGTTAGTTGGCACCCCATATGCACCCTCTCCCATTGTGCAGCGATACCTGCCATGGCTTGAACCCATTAATACTCATTAGTATCTGCATTTTTTCTCTGTGTGCCTCGCTGTGTGGCAGTGAGACACTCTTCAGCGTGTTGTGTGTTCGCCTTTATCAGCCATTTAGCCACTTTGTGTATATAATCCCCGGGACGCGCAACAACCGCAAACAATATGCGTGTTTATTATTGTTTGTTGGCTTGGCTCGCTGACTGTTGTTTTGAGTGCGGTTGCTTTTGTCTATACTCTTAATATTATTAAAAAATACACCCAAGGGTACAACAATTCGGTTGATTCGGTTAGTTTCTATTTTTTGGACCTGGTGGTGGTTGCTTGACAGACCGTTTTCCGATATTACGCAGACCAGACGCATAAATTCTGTAACTGGAGAAACCCCCCAGACAATTAGAACTAAGGCAGCTGAAATTGGGTGGGTGGTTGGCTGTCCAGGGGGTGGGTGGGTTTTTTGGCTGGCTGCTTGTCGTGTGCATACTTACGTTTAAGTAAAACTGCAAAAATCTTTGGCTATACATATATGTACACTGAATACTGTATACCTATATACATTTTAACAATAAAACACAAACACAATGCGCCTGACACTCGCTTCGAGAGACGCAACTCAAAAGTGATAAATGATGTTGCTTGTTACTGCCATTGGCTTTTGAGTAGCAGGCATCACGTTTATTTGCGCTGTAAAATGTTTTAGCATTTTGCCAACTCGTCGTCTATCAACTCGTTTTTGTTCTCCCTTGCAAATGAATTGCAAGCCATGTTAACTGTCATGTTAGCCAAACGACCAGTTGACAAGCGCAACGGCATTTGATTAGCGCTGAGCGAAAAGCGAAAAGCGCACTGCGAATGGTGAAGCAAATCTAATACGAATTCGTACTACGCAACAAATTGAAATAGCTGTAAGCGCCACGCATAATCTGCAGATAGAGTGAAAAAGTTCGTTAAGCAGTCATTGAATTACTTGGCCAGACTCACATCGAGAAAGGTTTTCAGATTCAGCTCGACCAGCAGAGCGCGAATCTTCAATGGCCTCTGGGTGTGCATCATCATTAGCAGCAGCATCCTCTGCACAGGTAGGCCAAACGTGTACCAATCGACATCATAAAAGGCAAAGCACAATTCATTCTGCTGCAATTCACAAAAGGTTAAACATGGCCAATGAATGTCAGCTCGATTGGTTGGACAACAAAAACGTTTTGGAATGGACGAACATAGAAAGCTCAGTCAGCAATTCATTAAAGGAGGCATTTCAGATTGTCAAGAGGATGGCGAATGAAAAAGTTGTAAGGCATTGTCTTAGGGCTCGAAATAATCGTAGTAGTAGTTGACTTTTTGCCGTTTGCTGTTATTTCGATATGCAAATTTTAATGAATTTATTTAAAGAGGTATTAAGTAGGTGCTTAAGAGTGTTTAAATAGTTAAATATATAATTATAATTAAATCACTAAGCAACAAATATAAGAAAAAAATATACAATAAGAAACAAAAATGTTTTTAGACCGTGCCTAAAAGTATTCCACAAAACACAATGCATACAAAAGCAGAAAATTATTTAAAAAGAAGTCTTAAATTACTTAGTAGTGTTGTATTACAATTGATAAGAATAAAATCGTTTTACGAAAATTAAAAAAAATAAAATAAATAAATCAAATATTAATAATAAAGCAAAGTATTTGTAAAAAAAATATTTAAGATTAGAATTAACATAGAATTTTAAAAAATATTAAAAACCAACTTTTTTAATAATTAATATAGTTGAAGGAAGTCTTTAATAATTGAAATCTTTAAACTAATTAATGATTTAAAAATATTTAAATTTAAATGCTTTTTTCTAATATAACTGATAAAACAACTAAACGATTTTTCATATAATAAAATTGTGTAAAATAAAGTTTGTGGGTTTTCTTGTTTAACCGTATGAATAGTTAATTGAATCTACTCTAGAAATAATTAATATTTAATTTTTCTCAACCTACGCTTTCAACTATTAGAGTCGCATGCCAATGATAGATCCACAGGATCGCAGCCATGACAAACAAATAGAGAAACATAAAGAAATAATCCATAGTGCTGAGCACCTGAAAATAAGTCAAAGCATATTATTGTCTCAAGACTACTTTCGGATGATTGTTGTTCAGTTATCAGATTGCAGATATATCAGAATTTCCGTTTATACTTACGCCCACATTTAGAGCAAAGAACAGAAAACAAATGAGTATAGAGAATATGATAAAGTCGGCCATGACAGGTATGCGAATGAGCTGCTCGATTTGCCGGACAAATTCACGTATTTTCAGCTGTTCCTGGACAAAGTATTTGCAGAGCTGCATTTGCCAATAAATGCGTTCGCTCGGACTCAGGTGCTGATCCACGAGATTCGGTTTTAGATGTCTAATCTGTAAATAACAAGATGATATACGAGTACTTATGATATATACACGCTTACATCCATGGCGAGTGTTCTTTTTTTGAGCACCTGCAGCTTGAGCGTCACGTACTTCATGAGGCACGCGATGAACGTGTGCCAGAGGGGAATAGTGGTAATGCCTAGGGCCAGGGCATAGCACGGTCCCAGATACCCAACGATAAACTGATCATACAGCTCGTTGAAGGGAAAGAGCTTGAAGAGCAAAATGGGCTGTGCCTCGCCCCGTCGCACCGCATCTACGTTGAAAACGGTCTTTGGCAAAAAGATGATGCGATAAATACAATCCAAATAGGCCATCATGCCAGCCACCACCGATGGCACCCAGAGCAAAAGGGTTATGGTCCTCACATAGCGCTGAGTGTCGTGCAGCAAATCCAATTCCTGAGCATCTGACTCGACTATCAATTGCTGCAGATCTGCATGAGCTGTGCGCAGCATCTTGATTACGCCTAGTTGAGGAATATTATAGAGAAATATTTGTATAAGATTACTCAGAAACATATATAACAGAATCTTTCAGAGAAATAACTTACAGATATTTATTATAGAGCTGCAAGAGATATAATAAAACATAATATCTCAATTATGTAATCTAAGAATGCTAGCTTTAAGCAAAACATGAAAAATAACGCAAACATTGAAATTGAAAATGGAAGAGAGTTCCCAAGCAGACATTTTTAAAAAGAGAAAATCGATCCGATAGATCCATAATACTTATTTACCCAAGTTAGTAGAGATTGGCGGGAGAAAATTCGTGAGACGGCTCCCAAGAAGGATCTTACTTACGCTCTCGCTGCACATAGGCATTCAGTGTGGCAATGGAGACGGCGAAATATTGTACCGCAGTCGCCCAGCTGGTGGCGTCTTCGTTGATGCTCTCGTAGCCGCGGGACAAGAAGAGGCGCGACAGCATCATCGCACAGCTCACCCAAATGGAGGCCGTGAAGACGGTGCAGCGGATCAGCGAGAGCCACGGATGGCGCTGCTCAATGGAGGCCACATAGCCATACCAGCGAAAACAGCGCAAGTGCAGACGGAAAATGGGATTATCGAAGCTATCCGACGTCAGTTGCAGCTCCTTCACCTTGTACATTTTCACTGTGAAAAGCGATGGCATAATTTGAGCTTTTTATAGCCTCGCATTTGACTGTTTGCTGCGTGCTAAGTGGACTGCAATTTGAATAAATAAGGTGAGGAAAATTGCATAGCA